TTCCTTTGTGATAATTGGTCACACACAATATAAAACCTGAAAGCCCTGTCACCATATTTATTTATTTGCTAGAGGTAGGAAAGTCATTCAGTTTCCCTGACTTTCCAAAAGAAGGCACCCTCTGTCCTACTAGACACTCTACTACACTGCTGATCACATAAACCTACCCTATACCTGGGTGGTAGTTCTCAGTTTCTTCAAGTTAAAGAGGTGATAAGAACTCTCTTGTAGGCTATTAGGTATCTTGCTATAGAACTTGTCAGTCATTCAGACCATTGTCCAGCAGGACAATTTGGCAAACAATTCAACTTTATCCATTTTAAACCTTGCTAATGCTTCTTTTTTGAATCACTGTCACAATAAAATCAGAGAATGGCATTGTTAGCTGTCATTCAGTGTGATTTCTGTGAAATTAGGACATATGCAGGTGTGTGGAGAATATGATATAAAATTCTAATGTACTTCCATTTTTTATTTTTTGATAATGCATCCTTTTTTTAGGCAGAAAAAAAGCTTAATAGGGATAGATATATAATTTTTGCTCTGTATTTTCCTTACACTTACATTACATTTTCTTTGGTATTCAGGGCTTTATTTGGTCTACATGTTTCATGTGTCTGTATACTAGAGGCGGCTGAAATCTCAGTACAGAAATGCCAGTAGTTAGATAATTTACCAGCTTTTCAAAAGAAAAACAGACAAAAGCCTAACTTTTAGAGGTAATGTTTCTTGATTCTTCATGTACTTTGTTGGTTTGCTCTAATGTATTTGCCTGTCTCTTTTCTTTTCCATAGGGAAGAAGAGGGAAGAGAGAGTCAGGGAGAGGGATAAATTAGACTAGTTACCCTAGGAGCATTACTAATTATGAAAGAGTAGACACAGGGCAGCTGATACTATGTAAATCTGCTTCTAAGTTGGAAAAGCTTCATGAAAGGGCAAGAAGATGAAAGCTATTCCATGGGTAGAGTCAGCCTCTGTACATTTCTGACCTGTGAAGCTACAGCAACTACTTTATGCTTTGTAATTACATGGTTGAAATTATGTGGGAAAATGATCATATTAAGGGTTTTCCATAGATAACAGCCTTTATGTAGTTGTGTTTTTAAATTGCTAACCACAGTGCATCATGCCTTAGTACCCGTTATTTAAAGCTTAAAATAGCTTATGTGTACAACAGTGAAATTACTGTCTGATACCAGTAATGGTTGGGATGAGAATGAACAAATTAAAATGTAAGCCAGATAAAGAGTGAAGAAGGAGATCAGCAGACAGAGAGCCAACCTGTGCTTCATAGAGTTATATTACACTTTCCATCTACTGCAGGATTCAAACTTGAGCCCAGATTTCCAAGTTTTGAGGGTGGCCAGGAGTACCCTCCAGTCCTGCCCTGATAGCACCACTGCCTATGTAGGCAAAGAATGCATAAAACATTGGCATCTCAGCTAATTTGATTTATCTGGTTTGGCCTACCTCTAGTAAAAATATAAATAATCCTGTAGTAGTTGTGGTGGTGGTGTTTCCTCAAAATCCAGAAGCCTTTTTCCAAAATGAGTTGAAGGATTTGTTCTTGAAGAAAGAGAAGCTATACAGAGGAGCAATACAGAAACTGTATTGTATGTCATACTACTGAGAAGGCATATTTCAGAAGAGAGCCTTACAAATACCATAGACAGAAAGAAATGTGGGTACTAGATTAATTCAAGCCTAAACTCTCTATAGACATGAAAATGATTAAATGGAGGCTATTATACTCTGGGCATATTTATTCAATAATTGGTTTATTGAACATGCAGCCTTTATTCCCAGAGTCAATATAGTAAATGTAATTAAAAACACTGTATAATATAATATTTTTTAAAAATTCCAATGGGGTCTTAGTCACAAGCTTATTCCCTAAACTGGGCCCCACCTAGGGGATAACCGCCTTGGGTCCTTTTAAGGAGAAAGGCATTTTTTTTTTAAAAAAATTAATTAAATAATATTAAAAACTATCCTTTAGAAACACTCAAAAATGTACCTTTCTAAATTCCAGAAATACAGCATTCCATAAGGCCCTCACTTCTCCAAGTGAAATAAAATCCTGCCCGTAAAGGAAGATGTTTTCCCATCTGCAGAAGAAAAAGAGGGAGGAGAACAATCTGGCTTCCCAGGGGAACACATTGTACAGCCACTGAAAAGGCCCTCTTGTTTCTTACTCAAACAAGACTACAGGATTAGTGAGACTGAAAGAAGAGCATCCCCAAAAGATCTTAAAAGCTAGGATGGTTCATGCAGATCGATACCATAAAATGAGAACACAAAACTCACTGGAAAAGAGAAAGCTGAGAAAAGTTCAAGGCAGCAGATAAAGAGGAATGCTGAACATGAGATGAATTGACTCCACAAAGGAAGCCATGATCTTTATTTCATAAGATATAACAAGAGCTAATAATCATAATTATCATGAGCTGGAGAGCTGGAAAGGACCTATGGATCATCAAGTCCAGCCCCTTTCAAGGAGGCACAGTGAGGAATTGAACTCCCAGCCTCTGGCTCCATAGCCAGATGCCTAAATCACTAAGCTATCCAGCTTCTGGGGATTTCTAATTTGTAGTGTCACTGTTAAGTTAGAAGTGAGTTGATATTACATAACAAGTAATGTACACCTGAAGAAGTCTTGGGTTCAGTCTGTACCATCTGTCAAAATATAGTCTCCTACAGCACAGTAGGACTAGAAAAGACAAATTCTTGAGGCTGTGAACTGCTTCTAACCACTATTGGGTTCGTGTGAATTTGGCTGATACGCAGGAAGTTTTTGTGTCTACATAGGCTATCCCATCTAAATCCACCACAGAAATTGTGTGTTAGCTCCTAACTTGCAGATAAATTCTCCATTAGAGAAAAATGAGAAAGAATTATTCACATGTACAAATTTATGCACTGAGAGTGGTATCTTAGAACAGAGGCTCACATGTGAGAAAATGTACATCCATTGGTTGTTCAGCAATGCATGATCCTGGTGGTAGGCAGGCTGAGAATCTGCCTAGTATGATGTTACTCAATTACATGGACTACTAGTCTATGTATAATTTATTTTCATGTATATGTGTATGGGTGCATGTGAACACATTCCTTTAGGGAATAAACTGAAATCTAATATCAACGCTATGTTATTCAGAAGTGGTGATGAAAGTACATATTTCACCAGCTTCCAAGATGATAAATTATCCTGCTATGGTATGTGATCATCTAGCAACTTTGCTGAAATTAGCTATGAAGCCGTGGCTTTGGTTAATCAGCAGATCAGAGTCTTCTTTTGAACCCATCATATGCTATCTTGGGTTCTCTGAAGGAACAATACAATACAGTATAAAAGAATAGGATATGAAAGTAACAGCAAAAAGGTCGCATTCTGCTTTATAAGAGTGACTTTCATGAAACTGGCATTCATATTTTAGTGGAGTAGTTAATTTCAGATTTCACCTTCAGTAGTTGATTTCAGATACTGGGCCAGCACAGGAGCTGAAATTCCCAATTTGAATACAATATTTGTTTACTTTTTCATATCATTGTTGATTGAACCCGGTTTTACTGCATACATGTCCATTAGGAATGGGCACAAATCAGAAAAATGGTGATTCATTTTGATTCATGACTCAAGGCTGACAAATTATGATTTTATACAAATTGATGAATTCTCAAGCTTCTCCTGACTCTCTTCTATAAGCCCTTCAAATTTGGTGAAGTTTAGGTTTAGGATGTGCACGCTATGTGCCTACAAGGTCGCTTCAGAAAAGTTCTCTCCAGACACATAGAGACACCAAAATCACTGGCAAATTATGATTTTATACAAACTGATGAATTCCCAAGCTTCTCCTGACTCTCTTCTATAAGCCCTTCAAATTTGGTGAAGTTTAGGTTTTGGATGTGCATGCTATGTGCCTACAAGTTCGCTTCAGAAAAGTTCTCTCCAGGCACATAGAGACACCAAAATCACTGGGGAGCTTCTACTGACTCTCCTCTACAATCCTAGAGACACCAAAATCACTGGGGAGCTTCTACAGACTCTCCTCTACAATCCTACCAAGTTTGGTGATGATTGGGTTTCAGACATTCAAGTTATACATCCACAAAGTGCCCCTCCCCAGGAAAGTGTCCTTTAGCAGCTGGCTTGAGGAAACCAAATCTTCATCACATAGACACCAAAATCACTGGGGAGCTTCTACAGACTCTCCTCTACAATCCTACCAAGTTTGGTGATGATTGGGTTTCAGACATTCAAGTTATACATCCACAAAGTGCCCCTCCCCAGGAAAGTGTCCTTTAGCAGCTGGCTTGAGGAAACCAAATCTTCATCACATTTGGAGAGACAGCTGGCTTGAGGAAACCAAATCTTCATCGCATTTGGAGAGATTGTAGAGGAAAGTTGGGAACTTTCTCTGTAATTCTTGTGTCTCTAGGTTTCTGGGGGAGCACTTTCCTTGGGGGAGCTTCTTTGTTGGTGTATAACTCAGACATATGAATCTCAATCTTCATCAAACCTGGAGTGTTTGTAGAGGAACGTCAGATGAAACTTCCCTGCAACTTCAGTGTTTCTAGGTGCTTTGGTAGATGTTTTATAGCCAAACAAATAAAAAAACAGTTCTGACTCCTGTCCTTTGAAGATGCTGGCCACAGAGACTGGTGAAACGTTAGGAAGAACAACCTTCAGAACATGGCCAAAGAGCCCGAAAAACCCTCAATACCCATCAATATCAAAAATTACTAAAATTCATTGATTCATGATTCATTAGGGGCATTGATTCATATGAATACAAATCAATGATGTAGTGATTTTTCAATGAATGTGGTGATTCATTTTTAGTTCATGCCTGTCTTTAATGTCTATCATATATTTTTTTTCCTACAGTGTTTTGAGATCACTAATATCAACACCAAAGATGGTGTATTGAGCAGTCATAGAATAGAAGTATTGCTGAATTATCAACTCTTCTAATGCTTTTCTTTTTGTCTTCTTACAGGGATTCATGGAATGAATGGTAAACACCTCTCTGTCTCTGATGGCTGCCAAAGACGTAGTTATCCTAGCAACAATAAGAGCATGAAAGCTACAAGGCATGAACCTGCTAATATGGTACCTATTCAAAAGCTTGCTTGACTATTCTGAGTATTGGAAATAACTCTTGACTTTAATAGTATGCTTTAAATAAATAAATTGAATCCCAAATAAAGTACCTTGGTTGAGTCAGCAATCCCAATACAAAATGTAACCAAGAAATCAAAAAAAGACTGAGATCTGGAAAGGCAGCAGTGAATAAATTAGAAAATATCCTCAAGTGTATGGATATTACTGTAAGTATAATGAAGTGTCATTGGAGACCAAGGCCAACATGATCCATACTGTGGTTTTCCTGCATTGTAAAGTTTATGAGGATACAAGCTGTACAATGAAGAAAACTGATAGAAAAAAATTAACTCAGTAGAAATGTGGTATGGGAGGAGATCATTACAGATACTGTGAACCACCAGAAAGACAAATACTGTAAATAGGTTAGAGATCAGATCAAGCCTGAATTCTCACTGGAAACTCAAATGATTAAACTAATGCTATCATACTTCAGACATATCACGGGAAGACTGGAAAAGATCATATTAGAAAAACTTAAAGAAAGTAGATAAAGAAGAAAACCAATGATCTTTGGTTCATAAGATCTGGGTACAGCTGTTAATGACAGGAATTTTTGAAATTCATTAATTCATGCAAGTCACCATAAGTTGGAAGCAATTTGATGGCATATACTAAGTTTTAAAATCCTCCTGCCAGTGAGCTTGACTGGTTAATGTGTGTTACTCAGCAACAGCATCACCACTGATTACCTTTCTCCTAATTTCCTCTTGATATTATTCTTTTCCAGTTCTCTTCTGGCATGTTACGAGTCAGTAACCTGAAAAATTGCTTTTTTGTTTTGTTGCCACATTAATGGCACAAATGAATCTGTTGCCATCAAATACCGCATGCACATTCTAGCTAGGACACCTGGAACACCTGAGACCAAAAGGTGTAGACAGGGAATCTGGAACTCTTGCTATGGGGTAACTTTATAATCCTTTCCTTCCTTAGCTAATTCACTTCTTCTGCTTATTTGTAAATCATGTTGGGAATTTTATTCTGTTATTAAAATACATTGATTTATATTTATAGGTTCTTAAAGGTATCTGAAAACAAGAACCATCACCATCAGCCTGCTTCGCAGACAAAAGTGAAATGTTGGTACTTTGAGTTTCCTTCTTCTTCTAGCATTAGGTGAAAGATGTGTGTGATTGACAGAGACACAGAAAATTCTACACAGATCCAACCTGTTATAGGACTGGTCTTAGGCAGCATCTCATTGATCACAGTTGTCATGAACATTTTGGTCTTGTATGCAGTGAAAACAGAAAAGAAACTGCAGACGGTTGGCAATCTTTATATTGTCAGCCTTTCTTGTGCAGATGTTATAGTTGGTGCAGCCGTGATGCCGTTGAACATTGTGTACCTATTGAAGGATAAGTGGATACTGGCTAGAAAAGCTTGTCTGTTCTGGCTGTCGATGGATTATGTGGCCAGCACAGCCTCCATATTTAGCCTCTTCATACTCTGCATAGACCGTTATCGTTCTGTCCAGCAGCCCTTAAAATATCTCAAGTACAGAACCAAAACTAGAGCCTCTATCATGATTTCAGTTGCTTGGTTGTTGTCTTTTATGTGGGTCATCCCAATTCTTGGCTGGCGTAAATTTACAAATTACCACAACACAACCAGCAGAACTGATGATGAAAAGATATGTGAAACGGATTTTTGCAAAACCACATGGTTTAAAGTCTTGACCGCCATGATCAATTTCTATGTCCCATCATTACTAATGTTGTGGTTTTATGCAAAAATATACAAGGCTGTTCGGAGGCATTGTAAGCACCGAGAGCTCATAAATGGGTCTTTTAGGAGCGTTCAAGAAAAAGCAAGTACTCAAAGTGAAAAGCTACAAGAAATGCAAAAGGGTTATCTCCTAAATGCACATAAAGATACAGGGTATGTTACTAATGAAAATGACTCTGATGAAAACAAAGGAATGGAGGTCAAATATCCAGCAAACAGGTTTATTAAAATATCAAAGAGTGACAGAGACGATGACGTAGGAGTAGTAAAGCTCAACTGTTTCCCTCCAGCAACAGTAGAGGATCTCACCAGAATAGGCAACACAGACAGCAAGTATGCCTGTGTCAAAGAAAACATTGAAACTAAAGAGACCCTTTGCTCCCTAGACTATGAGTTTAGCAAAATGTCTGAGGGCCTGAGTTTTGCAGAGGGGCCTTCCTCTAGACGTTGCAGTACCACTCTGAAGCAGTATTCTGACGCTGGCAGATGTTTCTCTAGGTCTAGTGACAGAAAAGACAGTACAAGTTTACATTACCTGAAAAGGACATGGGAAAGGCTGTGTACTCAGTCCATTAACCGAAGTCAAGGGAACAGAGAGAAAAAGGCAGCCAAGCAGTTAGGGGTCATAATGGCAACCTTTATATTGTGCTGGATCCCATACTTTGTATTATTTTTGGTCATGGCCTACTGTGAAAAGTGTTACAATCGCCCTGTTCACATGTTTACTATTTGGCTTGGCTATGTGAATTCTACCTTAAATCCATTTATATATCCACTCTGTAATGAGAACTTCAAAAAGGCTTTTAAAAAGATCTTTCATATTAAAAACTGATGTATTGGGGGAGTATCACCAAGGAGGGGTGCAAGAGTCAACAGAATCATATTGAGAAATACAAATAGACTTTCCAGTATTATAAAGAAGAATTGCAAATGAAGTGCAGGATTCCTTAGAAAACAAAATAATTGGAAAAGAAGAAAACACATTTTTCATAGAAAAATGTTGCACTGTAAATTTGAAAAAAACACAGGACTTTACATCAGGATTCCCTTGACCCCACGTTTTAGCCCCAGGACTGTTGTACAGTACTTTTATATATTGCTGTTCTTTTGTGAAGAATTTATGAGAATTGTGGTTTTGGTTTTGGGTTTTTTGGGTTTTTTTAGGTGGGGGAGTTAAGTTCTGTTTTTTTGGAACAAGTGAGACAGAATGAAGTACTTGGTACTTAAACTGGCTTCTATAGCCAAAATGTAATTGTCTTCATTCAGTCTGGTACTCAGTTTACTGCATTTCCATTATCTGATTGTTTCAGAAGTGTGGCTGCATTGACATGCTGAGGCTACACATGATGCAAAGCTTTGCCAAGCCCTGGACTTCTTCTGGGGCTTGTGAATGGCTCACTGCCAGCCTACAGAGAGGTGTTTCCATCCCTCCCCACCTCTCCACTGATGCTCCCAAGACCTGTCCAACAAGAAGGCTCATGGGTCATGGTGCTACCATTCCTCCCCCTGCCTTGCTCCTAATGGCAACATGTCCAAGTGTATCCAGTCACCAGCTTTCTTTACTGTCCCTTCTCTTTGTTTCTGCCCCTTTGTTGCTTTGACTTTGCATAAGCATATCAGATATTTAAAAATTTGTTCATACTGATCCCGTGAGCCTAGTGCCAGCTGAAATGAATGGTGATGGTTTCCCAGGCTTTAAAGCCATTCCCCACAAAAAGCAGCCCCCTCTCAAGAGTTGTTTGGTCTGAGATTTGACTCCTTGCCTGGAAATCTTGAGAAGCATAACAATTCCCCAAGAGTCCAACCAGCCCTAACACCTGGCAACCCTAACCATCAGCCAAGCAATGTATCCAACAAATGTATGACCAAGCTGGCTGGTAGATCTGGCCAGCAACCATAACAACACTTCTCATTTGAATGGGATTTGTTCTCAGGAAAGATATACAAGAACGCATGGGTGCTATCCAAGAAACAAACCTAAATCATTTAATTATTCTCTGAAGGGAGCATTTTAGAAAAAAAAACAGAAAAAAAGTATTTCCAAAAAACAGCAAAAAGAGCAGGACATGTGTACTTAGTAGTAAAAAGCACTGAAATGTGACAAAAAATTAAGATAAATTTTGAGCAATGTGGCTAATATTGAAAACCTTTATGGATCTTTTATGACTATTTCTATGACTACCTATTATTGAATACTGGAAATATAATGTACGCATATCCAGTTTCCCTGAAAATAAGACCTAATCTGAAAATTAGCCCTAGTAGGATTTTTCAGGATGCTCACAGTATAAGCCCTACCCCCAAAATAATCCCTAGTTAAGTGAAACCCCGCCTTCCACCATTGTGCAGCAACCAGAAGATGACATGACTGTGTTTGAATAAATGTAGATTATTTTACATGGAAAAAAAATCCCCTGAAAATAGGCCCTAATGCATTTTTGGAGCAAAAATTAATATAAGACCCTGTCTTTTTTTCAGGGAAACAGGGTATACCTGTTGCACAGTGGATATATATTTTGATGCTGTAATTTCTTCGGATATTATCAGAAAAAATGTTTTCATAAAACTTTGCTCCACAGTGTTACTGCAAGCATTGTTAAAAAGTATAGCCCCATCTTATGCAGTTGATGTAGACAGAAAGTGAAGGTACAGTATTTTGGGGTTTTTTTACATCTCAATTCATGTAAATCATCTGGTAAAAGTCATTAAAGGTACATTTTAAAAGGCATTAAAGAAATTATGGAAGATAAATTTGTTTAAATCATAATTATTTCTTTTTAAGGGTTACATTACCTTAAGTTACTGCCCAATTTGACTTTTGCTGACTTTGTTTTTACCACATGCAACACTGATACTATTCATCTCATCTTACATTAGTACTGTGCATATACTGTACTCCTACAATCCTTACACTTCCTCTTAAGCTTCTGACCATGCAGAATTCATGACTGCAACATCCAGCTATCCTTTCCCCTCTGTCACCTCACCTCACCTTACTCCAGCCCCAGCATTTTGCCTCATGAATTCCTCTGGACATGCTCTCTCAGCTCTCAAAAGGCTTGCCACTATCACAGATTTGGGGTTATTTTTTTCTTACCAAACAAAATGAGGCTCTGTGTTTTAAATGATCTTTGTTACCTGGGTAACAAAGAAGGATAGAATATCTGTGGATAACATGAGGACTGCAAAGAATTAGAAAATCGGTAAGAAACCACACAGTAAAGTAGACAGGAATCTATGAAAGATAATAGCCATCTTGCATGTTGAGGTAAAAGGTACAGTTGGATGGTGACAAGCACCATCCATCCAACTGTACCTTACCTTGACATGCAAGATGGCTACAGTGGACCCTTGACTTACAGACGGCTTGACTTACAGACTTTTTGACTTGAGAACTGCCTTTCAATACGGATTAAGTTCTCAAGTCAAGACCCCACTCTATTATCTTTCATAGATTTCTGTCTACTTTACTACCTTCTCAAAAGTATTGAAAAATATAACATATGAAACTGGAATGAAAATTAGGAAGAAAGACAGAACACTGTAAAATGTTTATTTTGTAAAGTATAGGCATATATAGTTTGCCACCTTTGTATTTTAACATTCACAATATTGTACAAGATTGTATATAAAAATACTGTTTGAATGTTACAACTATTAAAAAGAATTTTGAACAAGTATTTAAAACATGGTATTGAGCTACAATCTCAACATTTTAATGTTAATTGGATCAGTCAGCAAAAATGACTCTCTCCATTCTTCCTCTCTATTACTATTGGGTCACAAAGGTAATAAAACTTTAATTCCTCAGAAGACTATCATGAAATGGTCTCATACTCCCTTTAATAAATTCCTAGATTGTTTCCACTATGTGGAGTTTTGCTGTTGTTTGATACCTTGTTCAATTTACTTGTGTTTCTCTTGAACCAATAAACAAAGTTTCTTAGAAGATGCCTGTTTACTGAGTACTCATCTGAGGGCATCGGTCACTGGGGTCTAAATGCTGAGTGATGGCCTATGATTTGGACAGGGGGCATCACAAAGCCTCTGGGCTGCAAGGTTGAAAGACCAGCAGTTCAAATCCACGCAATGGAGTGAGCTCCCGTTGCTTGTTCCAGCTCCTGCCAACCTAGCAGTTCGAAAGCATGTAAGAATTGTGAGTAGATGATAGGTACCACCATGGTGGGATGGTAACGGCATTCCGTGTCTAGTCGCACTGGCTGCATGACCACGGAAACTGTCTATGGACAAATGCTGGTTCTACAACTTGGAAATGGGAATGAGCACCACTCCCTAGAATCAGACACGACTGCACATTTGTCAAGGGGAACCTTGACCCCACATCCCAATCCACAAGCCACCTGCACATGAGCCCAGGAAGCTTCTGGAATCATTTCTCTGTAACCTTAAAGCCCTACCCAGGGAGTACCTAGCCCCCAAGTACCTTCCCTCCACTATCAGACTGTTTTCAATGCTGTCTCCAAAGAGAAGAGATTACTGTTTCCATGCAGGCTCTGTGTGAACAAAAAACACTGAACATTTGGGTTCCTGCTTGCATGTAGAAGCTATATACAAGCAGGACCCTTCTCCTTCCCAGACCTTACAATGAAACCACAAAGAACTTAGCAGCAGAAAGACAGTGCTGTGGTTACAGAAGCCCTTGCTGTGTGTTCACAGCACAGGGGTTGTAGAAGTTCTTCTATAGGGTTAAGCTTATGACTGGTTGCAGAACTCATTTATTATTTTATTCTACCTGCATCATGATGACAACTGTGATCAAATATGCCTTGTTTTTTCCCCTCATTATTTCAGGATGTGTTTCAGAATGCTAATAGTATAGCCATGGGGCAAATGGGAGTCTCTTTTTTGATGTATGGTCTCATCTCCTTTACAGTGTGTGCACATTTACCCAGATATAAATCCTATGAATAGTGGGATTCACACTTGCCAACGCGTACATATCTAACCCTAGCTTAGGTCCCAGCTGGTTAATCTTAACAGCGGTCCCTGACACCTTTTAAGATGCATTCTTAAAGGTTCACTGAGCAGTTAAAGAATTGTTTAATGAAAAACAGTGAGTGTTGTTGACAGCAAGTCAGATTAGGATTCAGGAGACCTGGGTTCATATCCACCTGGATATTGAAATTTATTTGGTGATTCCACTACTAATGCCACCCTTTCAATATCTCATTTTCTCTGGAAACTCTACTAGGGTAGTCATACTGTATGTCAGAATCAACTTGTTGGCATATCTCACAAGCGATTTCTAAGGAGTTGTTGTGACACAGATTGATGTAGTATTTAAAAACATGGATCTGTAATTACAATGGCAGAACTAGTTTTTAAAATGGCTGCTTTTCACAGGGCAGTACTGGACATATACACATTTCCAGGCATGAAAGAAGAATATACTCATGGATTTGATGATAACGATTGCAGCCCTTCCTCCTCAAGTTACTGGATCATACACGAAATAGAAACACATCTGAAGACACCATGCAAGAAAACACCACGGTACTTTATTCAAAGCATGCCGTCCAAACAGAGGAAACATAGTCTAATGGTTAGTGTGTTTCACTAGAAGATCTAGGTTCTAGTCTATACTGAGCCACAAAACCCATAGCGTGACTTTGGGCAGTCATGTTCTCTCTCAATCTGATCTACCTTTCAGGATCGGTGTGATGACAAAATAGGGAAGAGAGTCATGTACACTGCACTAAACTCATTGGAGGAATAAGTGCACACTGGTTAATTACCTGCAATGACTCACATGATTTCACTTGCTCCAGAGTAAAAGCCCAACAGGATTCTAGCCAGGCTGTATACATGCCAGAGAAAGATATACTGTAGTTAAAACAACAAAAATCAGTACAATTTGGGTGCAACCCATAGATGACTCATGACCAAGGTAGGGAACACTTGAAATTTGGTGATGACATATCCTCCCATTCCAATCCTGGTACAACCACAATGACTTATCTAGAACACCCATTTGACTCAATCACCAGTATTCTATCATAAATTTACACTGGTGTTAACTGCCACCTATTAGTGAGTTGCCATTCACAGTCAC